AAAAAAAAAAAAAGATATGCAATTTAGAGGGTTTTTTTTTTTTTTTCTTAATCCAAAATTTGCTTGTTACTTCTGGAAGAGTCCCTCGGCTAGCTGGTGGCGTGGTGGTTAATGCAGCTGTATCCAACACGGCCGACTTCCTAGTTTGAGTCCTGGACCTGGTGGCTTGGAAAACACCCTGGGCGCATGTGCGTGCATCCCTGAGATTCCCAGAGGACCTGCGGTTGGCCTTGCGGGGGTCCAGCGCCTTAACCTCTACACCACCTGCTGGCTCCAGTAGTTTGTTTCTTATCTAACTTACTAACACAAGCTTGTTTTCTTGGAAGTTGACTCTTTACCTTAATGTTTGAGTGCAAAACAAAACAAAATACTTTCATGGACTGGTTCTAGTTCATTAAATTCTAAATAGTTTTATGTGTGATTCTGGGGAAAAAAAAAAAGAAGGATCTTATCTCTAAACCACTGATATAGGTGAAGCAAAGGTGAGACAAACGGAACAACAGGTGACTTGGTGGTTGGGGCGCTGGACTCTCACATGGTAAACTGTGGTTCGAGTCCCGGACCAGGTGGCTTGCTTTCTCACTTTCCTTCTCTCTCTCTCTCTGTTTGTTTCTTGTCCCTTGCTGGTCAAACTAAAAACAAAATAATAATAATAAATGAAATTAAATAATTCTTGAAGAAAAATAAAATATAAGCAGCTAGATAATTTGCCTATTTAGTGGTGGAGTGACGGAAGGGCCTTGAACTGACCCAGAGCTCTGGCTCCCACACAGAAACTGTTTCCTTATTAGCTGTTGAGGGACAATAATTACAGGTCTAGGGGACCAGCTGGTAACACGGTGGTTAAGGGGACTGAATCCCTCATGGCCAACTGCTGTGGTTCAAGTCCTGGACTTGGTAGTTTGGAAAACACGCCAGGCACGTGTGCGTGCGTGCCCAAAATCCCAAGAGGAAAACAGAGGAGAAGGGATTGCAGCGTGGCCATCCCCTCTAGGGGATGCTTTCTCACTTTCGTTCTCTCTGTCTCTCTGGCAAGTGCATACGCCCTGTAGCAAACTGAAAATAAATACACAGAGGGCAGCAGATGGCATAGTGGTTAAGGTGCTGGACTCCCACATGGCAGACCGTGGTTCGAGTCTTGGACCTGGTGGCTTGAAACACCAGGTGTGTGTGCGTGCGTGCTCAAGATCCCAAGGGGAGAATAGAGAAGGGATTGCGACGTGACCATCCCCTGTGGGGAGCGATTTCTACCTGTCTCTCTGTCTCTTTCTATCTCTCCGGCCATCAAAAATCTCTCACACACACACAAAATAAATGAATAGAAAGAAAAAGAAAAGCCCAGCGAGTTGGGGGCTGCAGGCAGGGATATTGAAATTTTTTTTATGCTGCGCTTTGGAAAAGCCTTTTCCCATTGAAACTTGATAGCAGTTGCAGGGACCCCTGTAGCCCTAATCCTTCTAATCCTTGCAGCTCCAATGACTTCAGCTGGCTTGCTCGTGCCCGTGTTTTCCACAGCAGCGGCAAAACTGGCTGCGAAATGCGAGTGAAAGTGCAGAGAGTCTCAAATCACACATAGCCTGTATTTTTGCCTACATATACACACCTACGGTAAAGTTTACACATTAGTCACAAGACCAGATGATCAGCAATAACTAGTAATAAAATAGAAAAAGCATACCAACATACTGTAATAAAAGTGATGTGAATGTGGGAACCAGCAGATGGCGTAATGGTTACGTCGCTGGACTCCCGTGTAGTCTGACTGCGGTTCGAGTCCCGGACCCGGTGGCTTAAACTCACTCCGGGCACCGTGCGGTGCGTGCCCAAGATCCCGAGAGGAGAATGGAGGAGAAGGGATTGCAGTGTGGCCATCCCCCCTGGGTGGGGGGGTGATTTCTCGCTTTCTGTCTCTCTGTCTGTCTCTGTCTTTCTGGCGAACACACGTGCCCCATAGCAAAAACCTCTCCAAAAAAAAAATAAAATAAAATAAAGGGAAACAAAGAAATGTATGCAAGCTCTTTCTACCAAATTACAGCTCTCCTGGAAAGGACCTGGCCGTTGGCGCTCAGTCAAGTCCCTTCCTTTTGCATAGGAGGCGGCCCCAGCTGGTGTCAGGTGTCATAATCCTTGACTGGCAGCCAGGGACTCCGCTGACAGCTCCCTGCGCTGTCTTCCGCCAGCCGACC